ATATTCTTGAGCTCTGCATCTGTGGATTCAACCAACTGAAAACTGAAAATAATTTTTAAAAGATCAGTACAATAAAGGACAGTACAGAAAGATTGGGTATAACAACCGTGTCCACAGTGTGTGCGTTGCACTAGGTGCTGTCAGTGATCTGAGCGGATGGGAGGGACACGGGGGACGTGTGTGGGTTATATGCAAACGGTGCCCTGCTTTATAGCAGAGCTTTGAGCATCTGTGCATCGCGTCATCCTCGGGGCGTCCTGGAACCACATACACACATGTACGCATATATAGAAATTTATTGTAGGAAATCAGTTCACGTAATTGTCAGGGCTGTCGAGTCTGAAATCTGCAGGGTAGGTCGGCGGGCTGGAGACTCAGGCAGGGGCAGACGCCGCGGTCTGGACACAGAAGGGACCTCCGTCTCCAGGAAACCTCAGTCCTTGGGCTTCCGTCTTTGCACTGGTTGGATATGGAGATGGTTATATAGATAGATGTAGATAGAATCGATGGATAGATTGATTGATTCCTAGATTGGTAGATGTTAGATGTACTGATAGAATCGATGGATTGATTGACAGATTGGTAGATATTAGATATAATGATAGTATAGATGGATAGATTGATTGATAGATTGGTAGATGGTTAGACGTAATGATAGTACAGATGGATAGATTGATCGATTGGTAGATATTGGATATAATGATAGTATAGATGGATAGAATGATTGATTGATAGATTGGTAGATGGTTAGATGTAATGGTAGTATAGATGGATAGACTGATTCATTGATAGATTGTAAATGTTAGATATAATGATAGTATAGATGGATAGATTGATCGAGAAATTGGTAGATGGTTAGATATAATGATAGTATAGATGGATAGATTGAGAAATTGGTAGATGGTTAGATATAATGATAGTATAGATGGATAGATTGAGAAATTGGTAGATGGTTAGATATAATGATAGTACAGATGGATAGATTGATAGACTGGTAGATGTTAGATATAATGATAGTACAGATGGATAGATAGATTGATAGATTGGTCGATATTAGATATAATGATAGTATAGATGGATAGATTGATCGATTGAGAGATTGGTAGATGGTTAGATATAATGATAGTATAGATGGATAGATTGATTGATAGATGGGTAGATGGCAGATATAATGATAGTATAGAGGGATGGATCGATTCGTAGATAATACATCAATGATGGATGGATAATCAGTGGATGGATGCATAGACAGAAGATACATACAGTGTGGGGCTGGCACTTCCTGGATCCATAGAACAGACCAGAAGGCTGGAAACTGAGGCAGAAGCTCCTTCTGCAGTTTTGGGGCAGAAACGTCCTCTCTCTCAGGAAAACCTCTGCTTCTGTCCTTCAGGCCTTCGACTGATCGGGTGCGGCCCACCCAGATCGCCGCGTCTAATCTCCACAATTGGACGGACCGCGCGCTCTGACCGCCCCTCCAGCACACCTGCGCAGCAGACCCGCATGTGTGTCCGACTGCACGCGCGCCCGGAGCTGCGGCCCAGCCCTGCAGACACAGGACACTGACCGCCCCAGTCACTGTCCCAGGTAGGGTCTCCCCGATATGCGGACAGGCTAATTAGCTAACTCAAGGCAAGAAACAAGATGTAACGTGCAAACTGTCCTGTTCAAGCCAGTTGGGCATTTGCTCTCAAGCACGGTGTTTAGCAGGAAACGTGGTCTGACCCGAGGCTTCTGCTGGGCGCTCTGGTCCTACCTTAGTTTGCCCCTCCTGGAGGCAAATACCACCCCCTCCAACTACGGGCATCAGTGTAAATGCCTTTTAAATAAGTTTGCTAAAACAGGATGACACAAAGGGCCCTGCCTGTCAAATGCTTTGGGACAACCCGAGGGAGGCGCCTTTGTGAATCGTTGGTGGAGGAAGACAGAGCGTTTTCCCCGTGGTCTGGGTGGACCCCAGCCCAGGACGCTCTGTCAGGGCAGGGGGTGTGGCGGTCGGTGGTCTCCACAGCCCCCTGGAGGTTGGGTAGCCTGGCGTAGAAGGGAGAAGGCAGGAGGCCAAAGTTAGGAGGGCCATGGTCACCTGGGCGCGCCCATGCTGCAGGCACAGCGCCCCCCTGTGGCCAGAGGACTTAGCGGGGCACCCTGACTTCCTCACCATGTGCGAATGAGGAACCGGCTCAAAGCAGTCAAAAACAACCTCTGGAAGATTCCGCCCAGGTGTAGGATGACCAAAGGCAATGATTGTGCAGCTGAAAACAAGGTTGCTTTCGGGGTTACTCACGGTGCTACTTTGTAACTGCTGTACTGCAGACATCCTTATGGGCCCAGTAGGGAAGCCCCTGCGCCGGGCCTCACAGCACGCACCCTGCACTTCCACGTGGAAATGAGGAAGGAGAAAAGAAAGGGCTAGGGGACCGCTGGCCCGGGTCCCAGTCCTGGCACACAAGTGGACACTGGGTCACTGAGCTCCTGACAGTCCAGCCCTGGCTGTGGCTGCCTCGTGGGGCCCGGTGGCGGCTTTTTTTTTTTTGCGGTGTTTTTTTTGGTTGTTTGGTTTTGGGGTGGTTTTTATGTGTTGTGTGTGCTTTTCTGTTTGCTCCAGAGTTTTTGTATTTATTGAAAGTTGGTGATTTGGTGGGAGAATCACAGGCAGGAAAAAGGGAGGTAGGAAGGGGCAGGAAGGAGGGAAGGGAGGGAAGGAAGGAGGGAAGGAATAAGGGAAGGAGGGAGGGAAGGAGGGAGGGAAGGAAGGAAGGAGGGAGGGAAAGAAGGAGGAAAGGAAGGAGGGAAGGAAGGAGGGGAG